TTTCTGCTGTGCCTTCAAAAGGCATTGTCGATGAAAAGTTGTGCTATCTGTGAGTTTTCGTCAATAGCCATGTCCGTGTCGTCAAAGATCAACTCTTCCCCATGACACAGGAAATTGTTGTTACGTCAGTGTACATGCTCACATCTGCACAAAACTTTACTTGCTTGATAACTGTCCCGCCCCAAACACATCTATACATAAATATTCATTTCTAGTCATAGCGCCAAGTGCTATGTAGCGCCACAAAGGGGACACAGGAAGTGACGTATAACTGCTTCATGCAGCGTCCGAATTGTGAAGAAAATTCACAGCCTCACCGGTGGAGCTCCAGAACATTCAGCCCGTCAGCCTCACGGCCGACACGTTACACTGCTTGCAGCTTTAATTTTATTTAGTGTTTTTACCAGAACATGTGTACATGGTTTCATTTTCAAAAAAACACCATATATTTGTCATACTTTGCATTGCTGCAGTACATCTATTTACCCTCAGTATAGCTACAGAGTGAAGCATATCACTTTTATTCTTTGTTCAGAGTTGCACATGCACATTACCTAGGTAAGGACGTCTTGCCAATCAGAAGCAGAGTAGGGTGAGTTCTGACTAGCAAAGTAGTATGATCCAAAACAAAGGCCTTTCAGCTGGTAACCACGGCTTCGGTTCAGCCGTACATGTTTGAACCCGAGTCTGATACCGAAACACAGACCGAACAACCAGAACCAGCTTCATAACCTAGACTGGAGCAAGACTTTCAGAGTAGTGAGTATGTAACACATTAATCTTTCATAAAGTTTTAACTGAGCTCTGTCTCTTTGTAACAGTAACAGCTTTATACCACCATGTGCCACACTAGCCGCTAGGCGAGTGTTATGCCGCGTGTTACACGGTGATGCAGAGAAGTAAAGACTGGACTACAATCCAGCTGTTATCAGTTCAGGAGTAGTGTTTTCTGTGGGAAATGGGAACTCCCTTTGGGCTGGATTGTGGACGTGTTTTCCTGAGAGAGGGGACCCAGGGATGTTCATGGTAGAAGTCCTCCCAACTCCAGTCTTTCCAACAAACACAATCCTCAGCTCTGACTCTGTTGGAGAATTTGTACATGATCATTATTAATACTGAAAGTCTTCCAGTTGTTTAGATTATCTTAATCTAACAAACCTGAGGGGGACTGTAATGCAGATATATTTCAGCTGGGCATTAATATTTGACGTAAATTGGTCATTGGTTGTCCCAGCCTTTCTGTGTGGAGTTTCCTTGTTCTCTCCGTGTCTGCGTGGGTTCTCTATGGGTGCACCGGCTACCTCCCACAGTCCAACATGAAGGCTAGGTTAATTGGTGACTCTAAATTGCCCTTAGGTGTGAGTGGTTGTTTGTATGTGTGATGGGGCTTCAATAGAGTGACGACCTGTGTTCAGGGTGTACCCCGCCTTTCACCTAATGTCAGCTGGGATTGCTCCAGCCCCCCCGCAACCCTGTACACAAGCGGTGGACGATGAGTGTTATGTATCCATTATTTAAGAAGCTCCATTTTGTTTCACAATACACTCTGATTGATTCACAGCTGATAAATGTTCTGCATTCCGTTACAACTCTAACTCAGTTACAGGAATCACAACTGAACACCGACCCAACTGGTGCTGCAGTTAAAAATGATGTTTGCTAAATTTTTTTTTGTTGCATGTGTATCCATGCGCTAAATTCATCAAGTCTGACCCAGTTTGTTAAATAATGTTGTATGTGGTTCTCGTACGGCGTAATATGTGTCCCTGAGCAAGACAATTAACCCTTAGTTGCTCCAGAGGCATGCGACCTCTGACATGTATAGCAATTGTAAGTCACCTGGGATAAAAGCGTCAGCTAAATGAATGAATGTAATGTAATAAAGTCTCTAACCTGCCTGTCGCTCTGGGCCGTTTCAGTTACCATAAAGGCTTGAATACGTGTTCACTCCAAATTTAGGTGCGGCTAGCTTAATTGCCTTCTCAGAAACGAGTGACAGAAACACAAAAATCGGTTCTTTTCTAAGAAGTCTGCCACAGATGGAGTAGATGTGATGCGAGACAAATCAGCAGAACAGTGTCTGCAAACAGTGACAAGCTTCCACACTGTCAACATGTCGACGTAATTGTTCAATAAATTTATTCGGTCTTTTGACTCATTAGGCTGAACACCTAAAGTGCTTTTTTTGCTATTTTCGGACGATTAATTTTGGTTGTATCCCTATTTACCATTTTCATCTGCTTATCCAGGGTCGGGTCGCGGGACCAGCAGCTCCAGCAGGTGACCCCAAACTTTTCAGAGGCGTTCCCAGGCCAGTGTGGAGATATAATCCCGCGGAAGGCATCCTGGAGGCATCCTTACCAGATGCCCAAACCACCTCAACTGGCACCGTTCGACGTAAAGGAGCAGCGGCTGTACTCTGAGCTCCTCGTGGATGGCCGAGCTTCTCACCCTATCTCTAAGGGGGACACCAGCCACCCGCCTGAGGAAACCCATTTCGACCGCTTGTACCCGCAATCTCGTTCTTTCAGTCATGACCCAGCCTTCATGACCATAGGTGAGGGTAGGGACGAAAACTGACTGGTAGATCGAGAGCTTTGCCTTACAGCTCAGCTCTCTTTTCGTCACGACGGTGCGGTAAAGCGAGTGCAATACCGCCCCCACTACTCAGATTCTCCGGCCAATCTCCTGCTCCAGTCTCCCCTCACTCGTGAACAAGACCCTGAGGTACTTGAACTCTTTCACTTTGGCTAAGGACTCATTGTCTACGTGGAGTTGGCACTCCACCGGATTCCTGCTGAGAACCATGGCCGCTGATTTAGGTGCTAATCCTCATCCCAACCGCTTCACACTCTGCTGCGAACCGATCCAGTGGAAGCTGAAGGTCACAGACCAATGATGCCATCAGGACCACATCATACGCAAAAAGCAGTGACGAGTTCCCAAGCCCACTGAACCACAGCCCCTCCTCACCACGACTACACTTCGATATCCTGTCCATGAATATCACAAACAGGACTGGTGCCATAGCGCAGCCCTGGCGAAGGCCAAACCTCTCCTGCAAAGAGTCCGACTTACTGAGTACTCGGATGCAGCTCTTGCTTTGGATGTACGGAATTGGATAGCCCCGAGAAGGGAGTTGAAGATCTCACGGACAGGGGCCTCCTCCAGATGTTCCCAGTTCACCCACACTACCCATTTGGGCATACCGGCTCTGTCCAGAGTCTTCCCCCACCCCCTGAGCCAGCTCTTCACCAGATGGTGATCAGTTGACAGCTCTGCCCCTCTCTTCACCCGAGTGTCCGAAACATGTGGCCTCAAATCAGATGAAACGATTACAAAATTGATCTTCAGCCTAAGGTCCTCTAGTACCACGTACACTTATGAGCATCCTTATGTTCGAACATGGTGTTTGAAGTTCCTCCCGGTCACACCTTTCCAGGTATCTCCATCATTGTCCACATGCGCGTTGAAGTCTCCCAGCAGAACCTGTAGTCCTCTACTGGAGCCTCATACAGAACTCAATTCAGGGTCTCCAAGAAGGCTGAATACTCTCCAGAGAAGAATAGGGTTCATCCCCTATCAAGGAGTACGGTTCCAGAACCGAGACTGTGCGTGGAGGTCAGCCCCACCAGATCTAACTGGTAGCGCTCCATCTCCCGCACAAGTTCCAGCTCCTTCCCCCACAGAGAGGTGACGTTCCACGTCCCCAGAGCCAGCCTCTGCTGCCCGGGTCTTGTCCGTTGAGGCCCCTGACCTTCACCACTATCCATGTGGCAGCGCACCCAACCCCTGTGGATCTTCCTATGGATGGTGGGTCCAAGGGATGGAGAGGGGGTGCCACGTTGTTTTTTCGGGGTAGCCCGCCAGCGCTCCATTGCAAACTCTGCCACCAGGCGCTCACTGGCGAGCCCTCTCTCTGGGCCTGGCTCCTGACGGGGGCCCCAGGCTTCCTCCGGGCGGGGTCTCTCCTCCACTTCCTCGGTTTTTCATCAGGCGTCTTTATGAACCATTCTCAGTCTGACCCTTCACTTGGAACAACTTTGCCTTGGGAGAAGTTTTAGAGCACTTCATGCTTCCTGCTGCTGACCAACTTTATGGAGATGCAGATTTCATTTTCCAACAGGACTTGGCACCTGCACACAGTGCCAAAGCTACTAGTACACGGTTTTTGGACCATGGTATCCCTGTTCTTAATTGGCCAGCAAACTCGCCTGACCTTAACCCTATAGAAAATCTATGGGGTATTGTGAAGAGGAAGATACAATACGCCAGACCAAACAATGCAGAAGAGCTGAAGGCCACTATCAGAGCAACCTGGGCTCTCATAACACCTGAGCAGTGCCACAGATCGACTCCATGCCAAGTATTGAGTGCTGTACATGCTCATACTTTTCATGTTCATCCTTTTTTTGTATTGGTCTTAAGTAATATTCTAATTTTCAGAGATACTAAATTTGGGATTTTCATTAGTTGTGAGTTTTAATCATCACAATTAAATGAAATAAACACTTGAAATATATCAGTCTGTGTGTAATGAATGAATATAATATCCAAGTTTCACTTTTTGAATGGAATTACTGAAATACTATTTGATGATATCCTAATTATATGACCTGTGTGTGTGTGTGTGTGTGTGTATGTATGTATCTATGTATGTATGTATGTATGTGTATATATTTTTATACATGCTTACTGTTTTATTTGTTATTTTAATATTTTTATTTTTTAACACACACACACACACACACACACACACACACACACACACACACACTTTATTTATTTAGGAGGAGCAAACTACTGGTATATACACCACAGGGCATGCATACTTTTGTTCTGTGGGGGTTCTTTCAGGTGGCTAAAACGCGTTACACTGACAGTGGATAAAAAAAACAATCCAAACTATCCCTTTAATGTGCTTCTGCTCCGCTCCCTAATTCATTGCCTGCAGCTACACATTTCTTTCTGAGCTGTTTTTTGGCAGGAGGAGATGTGTATTTCAAAGAAGGGAACTAGAAGCAGGCTATAACATATAAGGAAATTAAGTCAGAATAAGACATCCACAGTGACAAGACATCACAGATCTGCTGCCTTTACAAGACAAAGATGGCTAGTGAAGAACCCTTATTTTCTGGTGAGTAAAATAAATGTATACAGTACTACAACTCGGGGTAGAGTATGTGTTTGATGAATGGAACAGAATTATTTGCTTTATTATAAACCAGCAATTCATCAGCTCACACCTTCTTTTTGTGGATCCTTGATGTTTTGGGTAGAGATTAACACAGTTAGGGAGAATAAAAAAGTAGTTTCTGGTAAAATTCAGAGATGTAGAGAGTTAGTGCATCTATCTGCAGAGTTTTATAATCTTAAAACAAATTAAGTAGTTTTGTAGAAGTTTTCAGTAGTGGTGAACGCAGTGGGTGATAAGCTCCTAGATCAGTTCATCTCATGATGTCTGCACTTAAATGTGCAACAGAGCAACTCTTTAGTCCTTCGTTAGCATTTATTTAATTGGACTACACATGCAGAACTCAAGTTTTAAAAAACTTTACTGGCACAGAGTAAGGTTTGGATGGGACATTTCTAGAAACCAATGCTAATGTCTCTTTCTCTCTCACTCACACACACGCACACACTCAATTCATAATGGTTTTAAGTTTGCTTATATAATTAATGTTGTTGTAGTTAATGGATCTTCTTCAGTTTTTATCTTGTTGTAAGGCTACAGGTCAAAATGTGTTTTCACACACTGGACAATTTTGAGATTTTGGGCTGATTTGCTTCCATAAATGTTTTCTTTCATACTAGTGGAAAGTAAAAAACACAATACTGGGCTTTGAACAATGTGCAGTAAAAAGCCAGGAGTATTTGAACAGGAGCCCAACATGTAGATATGCCCAGACACACGTGAACCAAGACTGACCTCCTGGCTGTGATAACATTGTTTTAAATTTGTGTCAAATAGACAACTGCAAGTAAAATTGTATGATCAACTGGTTGGTTAAACTGTTCATGACAATGCCGCATCACACATGTCCACTTATTTTAATAAAATAAAGTATAAACCTGAGGAAACACAACTAAAAAGTTAGCAAATTCTTTTTTGCTTACTTTTGTATTTGTCTCAGTCTGGTGTAATAATCATACCACTCTTTTTTACCTTGTGGTAATGCTGAACAGAGAGCTCCTCTAGCATGACTTTTAATCTTCACTATCTCATGTGCACAGTCCATGTAGGTGGGACTTCCTCTTTACTGGCCAACACAAACTCACACTTCATGTCAAAAGAAAGTGCCACATGCTAGCACACAGACAAAGGCAGGAAAATCACCCCACTAGGTAATGAATCCAAAACTAGAAATGAATACACACTTGGCTGAAAGTGTCTTAAGAAAACTGACACGTACTCACTGTTTAAAGTTTGCAGTTGAGAAATGTTAAATATATGAAAGAGGCTGACCTGGCATTTGAAATTAAGATTTGAAAGATGAACTTCCAGTTTCAATGAAAGCACTAAACAAAGTTTAAGTAAAAGTTATTTCTGTATTTCATTGTGCCTGAAACTAAACTGGCACATATCCTTCATAAAACCACAAATTGTCTGAATTAAAGAAAAAGGTCTAAAACACTAATCAGTGAGCTTTAGCAGTGCTGGTTGGTGGATTTTGTTCCCTTCGGACAGGCTAGCAGTCTCCCCCCCTTCCCAGTCTTTAAGCTGTACCAGCTGTAGCTTCATATTTACTGTTCAGACATGACAGGGGCATCACTCTGAACATCTAACTCTTCCTTTAATAAACAGAGAAATAAAAAGGAAAATGTTCAGCATTGCAATCTGAAACGAGCTTGACAGTGAGTCATGTATGAATGAAGTTTTCTTATTGTGTCACGTGTATGATTATGCAAATACAAAATAGCCATGTCCAGAGTACATCAAATAGAATGTCAAACCAAATAGAAGAAAGAATTAGATTAATAATAATAATAATAAATATGTATGCAAATACATGCATGCATGTTTTCATACACAGATGCATCCACATACCCCCTACACATTTAACTAAGTCTAGTTAAACAAACTGTATGGGATTCACTTTCCACTTCACCCAGCTCACATAATCTGTTTTCCTCTGGAATATTTCCATGTGTTAGAAATAACCAGTAGACAGCGCTGTAAGGACTGATTAATATAAAGAGGTAGAGATCCCGACTGAGATTCTAACTAATGTCTGTGTCGAATGTTCCAGCAGGTGAAGAGCTCAGGATCGTACTGTTTGGGAGGGCCAGAGTAAAGAATTCTGCAAGAAACATCATCCTGGGGGGAACAAAGTTTGAAACCACAGAGAAGTGCAAGGTGGAAACAGCATTTATTGAAGGGCAGAAGGTCACAGTTGTTGATACTCCAGTTCTGTTTCTGTCTGACACAAATGAAGAGGATGTGCTGAAAGAGTTTAAGAAATCCATCTCGCTGGCTGCTCCTGGTCCTCATGTGTTCCTGATTGTGCTGGATGTGAGAGATAAATTCACACAGGAACTGCAGAAAATGGTGAAACTCATTCGCAGTACCTTTGGCAAAAACACAATGGCTTACACTATGGTGTTGTTCAGCTATGAAAACAAACTGGGAATTCCCATTGAAGATTATTTTTGCACAAATAAAGATCTACACAATGTAATCATACAGTGCCACTGGAAATACCATGTTTTTGACATCACAGACAAGGCACCGAATCCCGATCAGGTCAAGTCACTACTGAATAAAATCAACGGCATGATTGAGAGAAGAGGAAAAGATGGCTCCTACACCCCTGAGATGCTCCAACAGGCTGAAAAAGAGGCTGAAAAAGAGGCTAAACAAAAGGCTTAAAAGCATCAGAAGAACAACAGCAACATTAGCAACAGGAAGAAAATCCAGAATGAAAAGTAACAAAAGCCAAGAGGGGCCGGGTTTAAACTTCTGCTGTAGCTGGAATCTTTGCTGGGTGTTTGTTTCTCCTTGGTGGTGGTGAGATTACATCTAATAGAGGAGCTGCCAGAAATACCGTCAACAAATACATGTGAGACCAGTTTTGACAAATGACATACTGTAAGGGGGAAATCATGGTGGTGGAGTTTGTATATTTAGTTATTTCAGTTTGTTTTCTTTTTGCCTCTTCATTTAGCATGTTAATCAAAGGCCATTTACACAGTGCCATTTATTAATGGTTAATAATTTTGGTGGTAGTGTGCCAGGTTGTGAAAATCCGTCTGACTGGTGTGTTTATCCAATATATGTGGTGGTAATAGTTATCCATTGTTAATAAATGAATTTTGATCCAGCTGGCTCGTGTCTTTAATGTTTGGTAATTTCATTAATTACACATTTGGTTGGTGCTATTCACTGTAGTATAAATTAATATAACCTATATTTATGTATAATAATCATCAGTGTTGGGCAAGCTACTTGGAAAATGTAGTCAGCTAAGCTATTAGCTATTCTACATTAAATGAAGCTTCACTACACAGAAGCTACCCCCCAGTGAAATGTAGCAAGCCAAGCTAAAAGCTGACTAAAAACCTGATCCAAACAGTAAGAGTGTGTGTGTGTGTGTGTGTGTGTGTGTGTGTTTGTGTTAATCAGACACAAACTCCTCTACTTACTGCCATATCATTGCAGTAAAATGTATTTCCTCATGCAACAAACTGAGAACAACCGTTGTTGTTTGGATAAAGTCACTAATGTTTGTTATTATACCTTTTGTTTCTTGTAGTTTTAGATTCATGCTGTCGCGTTTGTTAGGTTTGTTTTACAATATTCAGTTATACCTTATTTTGTAATTTTTGTTACTATGGAAATACACATAATGTAAATAAATCTCATGTAGGATTATTATAACATTGGACCCAGCGTTTCCAAAATTAGGCTGAATTTAGTGTAGTGTTTAACATGAAATCTTCATTTGATTACATGATGCAAAACGTATGTCAGGGTTTGTGTGGTGAGGTTGGTGGATCCAAATGCAGGACTCAGAACGAAGCAGGTAACGTTCAAAAAGTTTATTAAACCAACAAAAAAAGGTGAGCATACTTACTGGCAGAGTGGCTGATAAACAGAGTCCAAAAACAAGGTAATCCAAACAGAAATCCAAAGAAACAGGGTGACAAGGCAGGCTAAACAGGACAACACACTGCAAAACACTGTGATGACCGGTCAAAGACTGAACATAAACAACAGGTATACACACACACACGTGCGCAGCAGCAGCAGCAGCTAAAGGTTAATGAGGCAGTAGCTTCGTGGTAGGGAAGGAAAGTACAATCCCGCCAGAAGGAGTGATGAGAAATGAAAATGTGCCTGTCTAGATTCGGGGAAGGGGTTGATTCAAGTAATTCAGACTGAATTATAATAATAATAATAATCCTTATTTGTAGAGCACTTTTCAAAAACAAGTTACAAAGTGCTTTAACAAGTGTAAAGAATAATACAAAAAAACAAGATAAGAGCATGAAAAATTAATATAAAATTAGTAAAATCCAATAAAATAAAAGGGATAAAATAAAGTCAAATAAGATCGGGAAAGGCTCTCCTATAAAAGTATGTTTTAAGAAGGGACTTAAAAGAGTTCACCGACTCAGCCGACCTGATTTCCTCGGGCAGGCTGTTCCAGAGCCTCGGGGCCCTGACAGAAAACGCTCTGTCCCCTTTAGTTTTCAGTCGAGACTCTGGAACAGACAACAGACCTCTGCCCGAGGATCTCGAGGTACGTGCTGGTGTGTATGGGACTAAAAGGTCAGAAATATAACAAGGCGAGAGGCCATGAAGAGCTTTAAAAGTGATCAATAGAATTTTAAAGTCAATTCTAAAACATACTGGGAGCCAGTGTAATGAAGCTAAAATAGGAGTAATGTGGTCATATTTCTTTGTTCTGGTTAAAAGCCTGGCAGCTGAGTTCTGGACAGTCTGGAGTCGATCAATAGATTTTTGGGTTAAACAGGTGAAAAGGCTGTTGCAATAATCCAGGCGTGATGAGATGAAGGCGTGTAAAATGGTCTCGGTGTCCTTAAAAGTTAACAGATCGAATTTTAGCTATATTTCTAAGTTGATAAAAACATGATTGAACAAGCTTTGTGGTGTGCTGCTCGAAATTTAAATTACTATCAAACCAAACACCAAGGTTCTTTGCCACAGGCTTAATGTGATTTACTAGGGAACCAGCAGATGGCAGTATTTGATTTGCCATCTGCTGGGACCCGATGACCAGGATTTCTGTTTTGTCTGAGTTCAGCTGGAGGAAATTATTTTACAGGAAGCAGGATTCAGTTAAAAACATAAAATCTAGATTTGCAGACAAAATAAAATCATTTAAGATAAAAGTCTTACTTGAAAGTGATCTCACATTGAAGAGAGCCATTTTAAATGAGTTTGTTCTGGGTGCTGGAGTTGGTGCAGTTGTCCTAATCCTTAAGAGATTACTAATGTTTCTGTGTGGGATGTGCACATTTCGGTTTACTGGTCTATGCGTGATGATGACAGGAATAGAAGTCTTTGGAACAGTTGGAAAGTTAAATAAAAAGGATATAAAAAAAAAAGAGAGAGTGGATTAAAACTGGATAAGAGTTCCGTTTAAGACGGAGCTTCCGACAGGTGGCTACAGACGACAACGCATGCGTAGAGTGCAGATTACGTCAGCAATTACGTCAGAGATCTTGTGACAAGATTACTAGTTAATTTGTGACTGTCCCTACAGCTACAACAAACACACACACAAACACAGTTACTTACTACATTAAATAGACTTACATTAATTTCCTGGAGAATTGCCTCAACCTTAACCACTGCACTAAACATCTTCACTCACACACACTGAGATAGTTTTTCTCTGCTCTGAATGTCAAAAGATGAATACCATCATTCGTTTTTGCTTATTTTAATCAAAAAAAATGTATAATATCATCTAAACATCCATAAATTCCAAAATAAGTATTAAACATTTGGTAATGAGTTGGAATAAGGTGGCTTAAAAGGTATAACACAGAATTGGGTGATCATTTATATTTTATTCTTTATTAACAGTCAAACCAGACCGGGTCAATTTTGACTTGGAAGGACAAAAGTCGCATGGTCTACAGGAAGAAAATGTGAAGGTTACAAAAAGACATGTTCTGCCATAATCACTGTAGTACTGTGAAAATTATCCCCATCACTCCATCGAGCACAGAGCTGTTGACTCCAGCTGGAGCCCCAGGCACTTGGTGTGATTATGTAAGGTTTACTGTAAGTAACAGGTTTCTTCTGAAGAAGGCAAAGGCAAGAACAATCCTGCTGGAAGGAGTGATGAGGAATGAAATTATGAGCGGCATATCCTGAGAAAGCCCAAGCTGTTGTTGATGAGAAAACTGAGGAGCTACAACAAACACAAGAATGGTGGATATGGAGGTCTGGGAAGTTGCAACAGAGCAGTCTCACACTTGAGATGTTTAAATATGGATATATGGCATATTCACAGTCACATTGTTTGTGGGGTTTGGCGACATGCAGATTAAATTGTAAGTCGAAGATCTACGCCCAGAGTGAAAGGCTGACGTGAACATCTTTTCCACTCGGCTGCTCATAGTAAAAGATATGACGATAATGTGGCTTTAGTGCACATGGCAAACATTTATATTTGCTTAACATCAGCATTTTAGGATATTCATAGCGAGCATGCTGATGTTAGCATTTAGCTCGAAGAGCAGTTGTGTCTGCGTATAAGCTCACATAGCTGCAGACTTTGAAGGTTGTTTTCATTTTGCTGAGTTTAACCTCATCCATCAGTTCCTTCTTTCTAATGTGTTCAGGTTTTGGACTCTTCACACAACCTGTTCTCACTCCCTGACTCGCCACATATGGACGCCTGGTAAAGACCCATCGACGTCAGTTTGAAACGACAGCAGAAACATTACTCAAAATAGCGGTGTGGGGAATTAAAACATGATAGCAGCCATGGCTAACATTTTACAAGTTATACAGCTTCATCATGTAACTAAGAACTCTACCGCTAGCTTATAACGTTTATTACAATTAACATAATCAGGTGACATCCAAATAAATGACTTGTAACTAACGTTATGTAAAAGGGTTAAGTGATTTGCTTCAAATTGTTTGTTTGAGCTGTAAGTAAACATTAACGTAATTAATAACTGATTCATAGTTAACTGTTGGTCTCAACAAAATCTAACGTTAGTGTTGCAAAATAACGTCACCACAGTTATATATTAAAAAGCATTTAAAACCTTGTGAAGTATGATGTCAATAACAGATTTGTAACTTATTTTTATATTTTTCAACCTTGACTGTGAGCTGGTAACGACCATAAACTGGTAACAACATGGCCACAGGTTCCAACCTCCACTGTACAGCACAGGGGGTATAGCATTAGCTTCTTAGCTTGAGCTAACTGACGTTGAGCTAGGCGGGAGTGATTTCAGCAACACGTCAGTTCCACGCACGACCCGCCTCTTTTCCCATTTATGGTTGTATTGATATATATATGTGTGCATATTTGATACGTACCGAGGAACCTTTTGCAAGCCCTGGTTTCTCGTTTATGCATGTCGCTAATTTGCATCATACCTGAATTTATATCTTTTGTATGTTCTACAGACAAATTAACAATCTTCACTTAATTTAACAACAGCTTGAAAGCAAATGAAATCAAATCTTTTTTTTTTTTATTGTAAAACAATTCAGGCGTTAAGGGGATATAAAGATTTGCCCCCTCGCCATTTTTAACTGCCCCCTCAGTCAATTCATCCTGGCACCGGGCCTGGTTTTGGGGCTGGGGCTGATTCAAAGATCTAATTGCTTGTTAATATGTGACTGTCCTCTCTGGAACATTTGGGAGTGTACCAACTGAGGTAAAACTCTCATGATTTAATTCTGACAATGGAAACATGTCTGCAACAGGACTTTAACCCTGGAGACCGCTGGTCATGTCCTGTGTGAAACCAGACACAGTCCCTAATCTACTGAGGACCGCTTATCAAATATCAGCACAGTCAAGCTTTACTTGAGCCCCAGGCACTTGCAGTAATATAAGGTTTATATAACAGCATTCTTCAGAAGGCAAAGGCAAGTTTGATCCCATTGGAAGGAGTGTGAGAAATTTAAATGTGAGCGTCATTTCGTGAGAAAGCCCAATCTTTCATTAATGAGAGAGCTGGGGGGCTAAACAAACACCAGAAAGGTAGACTGGAAAGTCAGGGATGTTGCCACAAAGCACATTCTCACACACCCTCAAG